ATTGTAAATTACAAGGGCAGTATGTACTGTACACACAGAAGCTACATTCTTTAATACTGTGTTGTCCTTAAGGAAGTTACATCCCTGTGTACTTGATTGTAGAACCTTTAATGGTATAATACTAACCTTTAAGATGCCAAAAAATTGAAATCTTGACATAATGGTACTGTTGCTCTATAAAATCACCACCAGGCACAGTGCTCAATTAGAAATTATAGTGCTTGTAACTCTTTGCCATTAATATCTGAAAATAGACAACCAGATGGCACACAAATAATCAAGCATGACCTTGGCAAACATTTGGCACTGTGTAATATTGATCTGCATGCTATAAGATGTGATTACAGTGGCCGAGAAAAGCATGTCCTCAATTAAAGTCTCATAGTTTTCTGTAAACCTCTGACACAGCACACATGTACAGTATGTGTGTACAGTAAATATGCACCATTGACCAAAAACATACAGACGTTACCACATATACAGTGTGGTGAAAAAGTAAATACCCCCCATTAAGATTTTAGGATTTAGACATATCTGACCATCACCTAGTCCAAACAGTAGAAAAAACTAACCTCACTTGACATACACAGATTCAGCATTGCAATTATTTATCAAAAAATAATTTAAAACAATTAAACACTTCTTTTAAGAATTGATCAGTTTCTCACATTTCCTGGGAGTAACTCTGGCCCACTCATACCTACAGAACTGCTGCAACTCTGTGATGTTTAAGCACTTTGTTGTATGCACAGCTCTCTTTAGCCACAGCATCTCTATGGGGTATACAGTATGTCTGGACTCTGACTTGGCCATTCCAAAATCCTTAATTTCTTCCTTTTGAGATACTGTATCTTGTTATAGATGTGCTTGTGCGTTTTGGATTATTGCTATTGCAAGATCCACTTTCAGTTCAACTTTAGCTGTTGGACAGATAGTCTCACATTTTCCTGTAGAATACACTGGTATAGTGTGGAATTCATAGCACACTCAATGATAGTAACTTGTCCAGGTCCTGAGATATCAAAGCAACCCCAAACCATCACCTCACTGCCACCGTGCTTGATGTTATTTGGCATTATGGCCAAAAGACTTCACTTTTGACTCGTCTGTCCAGAGCAGATTGCTCCTAAATTCTTCTTTTCAATTCAAGTGCTCTTTTGAAATATTAAGCTGTGCAGTGATGTTCTTCTTGGACAGCAGGAGTTTAATCTTGGCTTTCCTTCCAGGAAAGCCATTCTTATTCAATCTATTCCCGATGGTGGACTTATGAACGCTGACATCTACTATAGCAAGAGAGACCTGTAGATCATTGAGTATAACCTTGGGGTTTGTTGAGACTTCTAGGGATATCATATGATTAGATCTTGGAGAGAATTTAGTAGGACAAGCACTTCTGGATAGAATGGCAAAGGTCTTGAGTTCTCTACATTTGTAGATTATCTTACTTACCATCAAATGATGGACTTAATATGGACTTAATATTATTTGGAAGTGGTTTTGTAACCCTTTCCAAACTGAAAAGCAGGAACATTTCGTTCTCTAAGACGAGCACTGAGCTTTGATGAACTTTTCTGATTTTAAATACACGTGGAATCACTTCTTGATGATCAGCTAATCATTTGCACATGTTTTGGTGTACCTGATTTCCAAATACAGTGCCCTCATACAGTAGAACAAAGTGTCTGTTTACTGTTTACACATAGATATTGAATGCTGGCTGATTAATTAATAAAAACAATTACAGGCTAGGTGAAGGTCAATATATCTAAATATGTTAAATCTTAAGGGAGTGTACTTATGTTTTCACCACATTTTTTTACATCTTTCAGAGACATGTCTTTATCAATAAGTACATACTGTTCAAACACACACACGTAAAGCTATTGGTATCATTGCAACAGCCATGTAAAGTACATAATGAACATCACTTCAGTTATGCATAATTATGTATTCAATATAATTACCCATATTTATTCATATCACTATTTTAAATAGTTTTCTTCCATATCATTACATTACAAGTCTGCATTTTAGATTACATGCCAAATCATATCTGTAACTTTCTTCTGTTAAGGCAAAGTAAGAAAGGCTGCACTCTGTCAATGGACACAGATCTGAACATTTACTGTACCCTGTGTGTTGGAAATGTTTTAAATAAAGCTTTTTGAAAAGTGCGATAGAGATGTGATAGCTGAAGACAATCTGATTGCTAGTCTTTTCGTGGAGGACCTCTTTGAAAGCTTTAGGAAATTAAACAACAGGGTCATTTGTGACAATTTAATTTGATTTACGAAGACGAAAACCAAAAACATAACAAATGTTCTTTGATGGTCAAATAATCATATGAGCACTCTACAGTGTTGTTACCAAATGATACAACTTATCACTTTGGAGAAACAGAATAGTCTTTCATCAGTTTCTTTTTATTTATTCACCTGATACATCAGAAAGAACCATTTGAAGAAGGACCAATATGCTACTAATGAATGTTCTGATATGTTAGGTGCTTTAAAAGGCAACATCCCCAGAAAAAAATTGAAAACGTTCTTAGCTTTGGCATATACTGCCATGAAAAGTCACTTGAGATGGGCACTAGTCATGGCTACAGATGGCTACAGATCCAATCATTCATTGAGTGAATCACATTTGCAAGAGCAAGGTTTCATTAAGATTTACAATGTAAAAGAAAGAATTTCAGTAGCGTGAAATAGATGTCTCTTTTGGTTCTTGCCAGATATGTCTTTCTCTGTTTGGAATTAAAACTTCAGAATTTACTTTTAAAGAAGCAGATTGTTAAATATAAAGTGCAAAGCAATGGTACTGTATACAGTATGAATACATACTGTACATCTGTTCCTTGCTGTATTTTAAAAGATTGACTCTTATCCAGCTACAGTACATCCAAACGAACTGCCATAACCAATCCAGTTTGAAAATAGTTACAGTACAGTATGTGACCAACTAGTCTCCTTAGAGTGCAGTATTTACCTGAGCATGGTTGTTTTGAAGGCCATTATAACTATAAAAGGGGAATTTCCCACTCTACTATTACTGTAGGTATCATTTACTCTTCTGAGATACTCTTGACCTATTCCGAAAGATGAGCTGAGGCACCCTGTCCCTGTGAATAACAGCTCTTTAGTTCTCTGACTCCCTCAGACCTAAGCAAGGATTTCAACATTTCATTGACTTTTTTTTCAGATGTGATTCTAATATTGTTCCCTTTTTCAAATTCTCTTGGGCTCTTTGGATTTGAGGCTGCCCACCTGCAGTCATTACTGGCGTTTCTACATGTGGAACATCAGTTCCCAATTTGTCTTGTGAAAACGCCAATATTCTTTTGATCTGTAAATACTGTATATGGAAATTCTCCATTGTATCTCAGCTATTTTTGCTTCTTTCTATTCTGTTTTCTCACAGTAGCCTCTCATAAGGAAAGTACCATCACTCTCTTCCAAAACTTCATCGTTTTGAAAGATCTGAGTAAGACAATATGAAGACATAGACCATGGTTTCTAAATGTGTGTTGTTTCTCAGCTGGAGCAGCATGTTATTCAAAGGTAATATATTTTCACAAGACAATGGGTTAAATAATTTGAGTATGGAATACATGATACTTGCACACCCGCTGTAAGTACTGTAACTGTAGGTGGGAAATGTAATATTTTCCTTTTTTAACATCTTCTGATGACTATACAATTTATTTTCTTATTCAAATACAATTATAGGAACATCAGGTTCAACCTTGTAAATAATAATACAAGATCTGAAATTCCTTTCAAAAACATCACTGAAGGAAAAGACTTGCACCTATTCATATGTGAAAGACGACACTTACTGTAGAAGGTGTGCTCTGAATGTACAGTATGGATAGCAAATTATTTGAAAACATCATAAATGATTGCATAAACCACTGCAGATAAGAGACTTCTTTTATCAGTTGTTCGGTCTTTAGTTTTTAAAAGTGTAACAATAATACTAATTAATAATTTCATTAAGTGTTTCTCTTGTAAATACCTCTTGTAAATTAGAAGAACAACCATGAAAATAACATCATCTACTTGTTGATAAAAACGTTATGACATTTAAACAGGAAAGGAAAAAAGGAAAACAGAATTATACAGACATTTATAGACTCCATTAACTGTTATGAATATATAGTTATTATTTCCAATTGCACTGAAGGGGCTTTATTTGTATCATAATGCTGGTAATCAGGCTTGAGAGACTTAAAAACAGATGGATGTAGTAACCAGATGCCAGTCACTAGCAACAGAAAAACTTGGAAACCTACAGTGGGACACAGGTATTCTCTAAGCTTCAGTATTAGTGGGTTGTCTTTATTATTATTATTTAGAGCACCATGAAATTAGAAAACCCCATTTTATCCTGTCAGTTAGTCACAAGGGGAATAGTAAGTGGTTAGTGTTGAAAAAGCATTTTAATATAAGGGATCATTACCATCATTCTGTTGCTTTTTCTTACCTTCTTTTGAGCAGTACTACAGTATACCAATGCAACCTGAGACAATTAATCCATCCTACACCCAACAAGTCTGTATTGCTTTTTAAGTGCTGTCATAACCTCATACCCAAATCTCCAAACTCTAAACCATTTTGAAAAGATGGCAGGCCACACAAATAGCAATCAACATTTGCATACAACTATGTCTGAGCAACAGTATCTCAGGAACAGTTTTTTTTTATCCAGCATGCCTCGTAAAGTAAAATGTAACACATCTAAATAACTGTTTCAAAAAGCTAAGAGACATTTAAAGTAGCACAGAAAAATACCAGACTATGCTGGTTTGTTCACTAATACACTGGAGTAGGTTTGAAACCTTCAGAACCGATCCACAAAATGGTGGAATCTGATTAAGTGTAAAGATTGAATGGCCATGTCTGTCTCAGTGTACTTAATTATACTGCTTTCAAGATTTAAATGCAAAATTAGAAAGGCAGTTGCAACTAAGCTGCCCTGAAAGTGCCTTCCCCAGTTACCTGTGTCCATTTTGCCATCTTGTGCTGCTGGCCCTTCAGGTATGACACTTTTCACCTGCAGAAACTCATCAGGCTCGTCCCCACCTATTATAGTGAAGCCAAATCCCATGCTGCTCTTCTTCAATGCCGTAGACAGGAAGGTTCCCTTCAGCTGCGTGGCATCCCGAGTAAAGAGTGGCTTTTCTGTGAAGGTTCATAAAGCGGGGAAAAAAAAGTGAAAGACGTACAGTACGTAACAATAGCACACAAAAGATATGGGAAGAGGGTGTTTAATGTCCGCCACAGAAAATAAAAATTAGATTGCACTGAATTGCAGAAAAGCTTTTAACCTATGAAATTAATGCATGGTACTACTTAAGTATAAAACCAACCATTCACAATTCAATATTATAGAACAGCATAATATAGCCAGCTATACGCAGGAAATGTAGATACAAACAAATTTAGGGCAGGCTTACCATTCTTTTGCTCCAGGCTAATGTTTTACTAAAAAAAGAACAGGTATTTTTTCTTAATATTGGCTCTTTTTATCAAGAGTTGTTTAATTCTAGTTTTGAATCATTAATACATTTTTGGTTTATCTATCTGACTTGTCACTTTGGAGCAAAATCTTAGTATGGCTGACCCACAGCTTTTACTTTGTCAATTTTGAGGGAAAAAGCGAGGTTTTGTGATATCTAACAATCCGGAGCCTTACGTACTGTATGCCTTTATGAGCAGGTACATTCTACAGATTCATACACAGGAGAGGTACATAGATTACATTGTGGTCTCTTCACAATAAAATAAAAACGTCCTGTGATGTCTGAGAATTGAATATATATAGGAAATTTAAAAGCAGAAAATCATGTAATTCTCAGTCTCAAAATGAAACACAGATCAATTTTACTCTTTTACTCAATCTTTTAGTATTCAGTATTAAATAATTGTGAATTTTTAAATAGTTGCCTTTGGTACATGATCTTAATTTATTATGTATGAATTCAGAACTTAATTCATATTTGGGAACTTTTTAGCTTTATTTTTAGAGCACAAGCAGCATCGAAGGCTGTCAGATATCTCAGATTTGTGATTGCAACAGAAACAACTAAAGCTAAGGAGTGAGCATGCGTAACTGACACAGCAGGCAAAAACCAGGGGCTGGGCACTGCACTTCCTGTGCCCTACTTAGAGAGGGAACAGAACAGCAGGAAAAAAAACTTCAAAACGGCTAAGGAAAAAGCAATTTCAAAGTGCTGGTGATGTACTTATCCCTTTATTTTACAAGAGTGCATCTTTGCTGAGAAGCTGCACTGTGACGTACCATGCAGCCTGTACAATCCAGCACTGCCGCTTGGAAACTGGGACAGGTCACTCATACTGCGGGAACGCTCGGGTGCAGGGCCGAAGTGAGCAAGTTTAGGCCTAGGTAATGTTGATGAGGAGCCCTCTACTGTTACAAAGGAGAAAAACCCTCATTCGTAGGCTCCAATCTCATGCACATTCCCCCACTGAATACTGATGTCCTTACAGGTTAGTTCAATCAAAAAGCATTCATCTTTCCTCTTTCAGTGTACTCGTATGCTTTCACAGCATGATGATTGATGCTTTAATTAAAGCCTGTTTGCTCTCTGCATTATCAATGAAACACAGAAAAAGTGCACAAAGATTTTGAAAGACAAGCACAAGAGTAAATTTAAGTTATCTATAACTGGCTTCATTACAGAAAAGTATGAAGACTTTGTTCCATTGCGCGCCACTACCGTCACACCTGATATCACCTTTGAGAGGAGCAAGAAGCTAAATGATTACCTCGGAAGACTTGGACAGCCTGCAAAGGCTGTGAGGAGAGATCTTGGTTTGGCATTTGCTGCTGCTGTAGTCTTCTCTTTGCTTCAAGAACAGGGTTTTCAAACTGGGTCCTTCTGTTTATGTGACTGGGAGTGAAATTAAAAACAAAACTTAACAAATAGCATTAAAATGGACATTTAAAATGTTATGTAAATGCTGTTTTTTCTGAAGTCTTGAATTCTGATTATATTGTTTATTTTTTTTAAATACTACGGTTGCCTGCTAGGCACTGAAAGGCACAGTACAGTGTCAAACAAACATACAGTAATCCAGTAAGCAGCAACAATTCCAGAAATGACTGCTGAATTCTCCGTTTGTTTTTTCAGGATGTTTCAGAGTTATTAAATCAAGCCAATTTGAAACAGACAGTTATCCAATTCCAAGAAATCTAACAGCACTAAATTCAACATTTGCCCAAAATAGCAAACAGAGAAAAAGATAGTTTCAGTAATAAATCATTTCAAGTTAATATAAAAAATATATTTAGATAACCAAAATATTATCTAATAGCATACATTTTTGGTACTTAGAATCATAATCAGTTTTAAAATGAGACTGCTACATTTTAACATATTTCCTGTTATTGCTGGTGTATTATGTTAAATCATTAAACGTCAAGTTCATTTCCAGGACTTACACATCTTCTAACAAAATTAGCAAACTGATCAGAATGTTAACTTGGCTTCTGAAATGAAATGATTAGCTGATTATGTCAAAGACAGCTTTTAGATGGAAATGAGAACTGGATTGTTATGGGATAAAACTGAGTCTAAATGCTCAATCTTTCATACTGTATTCTAGTAATATGCAAATTTACACAAAAACATAAAACAGCTGAGTGAGCAATGTACTTATGTTTTTTTAAAGTTAAGATATATTATTAAAAACCTACTCAGTCAACTTTTGATTGTTTTTAATTTTGGGGGGGGGAGAAAGGTAATCTGAGAATTTAGGCAGCCTGTAATCACGAGATATATATTGTTTGATGCAATATTATTTATAGATTTGTATTCATTTTTCATCATCAAGTTCACATTTACGTGTTCACATGTTTGAATCCTGCAACAACAGGTATCAGAGGCATTTGATAAATTCCAGATCAGGCATAGTATTTGTAGAGCTCAAAGTAAGATTCGCTTTCGGCGAGGATACCGGGAAATGAGTATCTTTTAGTTCTTGTGCCATAAATTCGAACATTTAATAAGGAGTACCCAGAGACCGGCTTTTGGATCGACACTAACTCCAACTACTTAGTCTTTTTTTTTAAAACTTCATTTAGACCAAGCATGCTATTAAAAATATAGAAGCTGAAATGAACCTTTCAGCACCATAAAGGGTTTATTTCTGCAAATGTTTTACATTTGTAAATTAAAAAAAGGGCTTATTTGTTTTTTTTTCCCAAAGGCTCTTATTTCATTGTTTACTTATTGTTTTAAAAATGAAAACTTAAAATCTTAAGACCATTCTTGTCAATTTAAACCCTCTAAAATTAAATATTCCTATGGTACTGAGTTCTACCATTTTATTACTGCAGATTCTCCAACATTGCCACAGAATGTACTGTATCTGATATGATGCGCATATCATATTACCCATTTGCTTATTTTCATTCTTTAGTCTTGGTAGTATTCACTGTGTCAATCTCTTGTGACAGTAAATTATTAAAGCTCTATTCCTATGCTAGTAAGCCAAAAGCCACTTATGAACTCATAAACAGCCAAACCACAATACACAGAGCTTCTAAAAAAGTTATTCAAATACACACACATTCAATTTCAACTTATTTATACCAGAGCAATATATTATAACTGGCTTCGTTCCAGCAATTTTAAGTTTTCCTGACACTTCGATTGTCACGCTAGGACTAAATGGGAGTTCCACAGTTTAAGATTAGTTTTTCCTACACGAGTTTGCATTTGCTAGGCTTTCTATCTCCTCAAAATACTGCAGGGTTTCTCATATGGGACTAATAATATAAATGATCTGAAAACGAAATACAATGCAATAAATATTCAGATAGTATATGATATGGTCAGAGATAGATTCTGAAAAGATCCAATGTATTGCTGGATGCTATATGTCTGAACTGTTGCTTTCCTAATAAGGAATTAACTGATAGCATTAATCTGGAAACCTAGCCACAATGCAATGTGTAATTGCTTGTCTGTAACACATGCATTGCTTTGCTGACAAACCAACTGGTCTAATCAAGGGGGACTTCGCATCTTTACAGCTCAGCCAAAACTACTCTCTGGGCAGGGCTCAAAGTAACAAGTAAAGTTCCCTGGCCATTGTTGGAACTAAAGGCACCTCGATAAGCATAAACGTAGCTCTGTACATTTATGAAGAAAAATGGCAAAAAAGGAAAGAAAAAGACCATTTGGTTGAATCATCAGGAGCAATTAGTTTGCACACACTCCAAATAGAAAGACGTTCTGAGAACATCTGTTTCTGGGTATTAGTACACATCCACCAAAAAACTGGCAATTAATAAAAGCTGCAAAAACTTACTCAACGTAATAACTGCCGTAAATAGGGTCATCAATTTTCTCCCAGCCATATGGAAGTTCTGAAAAAATACAGCAAAGATGACATTATTTAGACTGCCTTAGACAAGAAAAGTACAATATTCACTTTTTTATGTGATGCTCTTTATAATAATAAGCTCAAGACTCTCAGCTCCTTTGCTAGTTAGGCGAAGTAGTAACTTTGCTTGCCAATGACAAGACATATTTTTGTTGATGCGTTTTTCTCCCCAACGATGGGAACAGCTTGTTGTTTCAGGATTGATTTTGTTTTATGTGAGCATAGATTTACAGTAAGTGACAATAAAAAGAGAACAAAAAGCAAAAAAATGCTTATTTTTATCCAATGGCATTATCAGTGTTACATATTATCAGTTCTGTTGAGAAGAAAATATTTTTTTTTTATTTTAGGCGGCTTTTATGTTTTTTTTACTTAAACTCATTTTTTTATTTTAACGCCTCCTCTCTTCAGCCTTATGGCAAATGTAAAAATATATACAAATCTAATTACAAGAAAACAAATGTTTCCGACCTGAACAGTTCCTTTTCTATACTTAACTATTCAAGTTGAAATAGCTCTTGATCACAGAAAAGGATGTAAGCACATCTGGAGTTAAAGCACAGACATTAATTAAGTTGACCCTCATCCTTCATCCCCTTCTTTCCTTTGAAAGCTTTGTCAGGTATAGGATGGGGGTGGGTGATTATTTTCATGCGTTGGAGATGTAACAGTTTTTCAGTCTCCATTAAATAAAAATACTTTTTGATTTTTGAATAAGAGTTTAATTATTATGTAATTAGTCGTTGTTACTCTGACAGTAAACTTCGAAGGTGTTTCTGCATGTTTCAAACTTACAGACTCCCAAATACCTCCTTAAAGAAACTGGTGCACTGTTGTATGCAGATAAAAATTGAATTCTTTTTTTCAAGTTAGGGCCTTCTGAAGCCCCAAATGCACTTTTTCATAAGCTATTCAACTTTGCATAATACATACTGTATGCTGTACCAAAACTAACACAATATCAAAATAATATGTTTAAATGTGTAAACCAGCTTCTGTTTTCTCCTTTTGCCACTTTTATACACATTTTCAGTTGGATTCAATACTTCACAGCACATAAAAATAAAATTTATCAGGGTCTTGTTGTAGCTGGGGAACCCAACACATATCTTTATTATCCTTGTTGAGATTAGCATTTATGATTTATTTTCTATAAACAGCCCTACTCGAAAAATGAAACTTGTAGCAGTGTTTTATGAAGGGTAATAATTCTCATAACACTATACTGCTTTCTCTCATTAAAAAAAACCAACAGATTATTGACCATTTATTTATTTGACATGTCTTATGTGCTTGCTCATTAGAAATGATCCCCTATTTTTACAAACAATGAAATGCTAAATTAACAGTAACAAAAGAACACAACTTAAATTAGAGAACATATTACAAATACAACACATTTTCTTTGCAAGTGAGAATACAATTATCGGCATTTACAGTTCTTATTCCATATTTAATAATTGGTTTATCATGTAAAATTCCTCTGTGATTCCTCATTACCACTTTCATACTTGTATAAGCATATATAATATTTCTAAATAGTGTCAAAATAGACAGAATAATCTCAGTTACTACTGGTTCACATTGTACATAACTATTTCTACCTGCTGGATCACTGCAATTTTCATTCTTTAAATCATTCTTTGCAGGATGCAAAATAGGATGTAAAATAAATGCAACAGATTTGTCTTTATGATATCCACTACCTTGTATGACTACTACAAATAATTACACAACAACAACAACAACAATCTTTTAGCACATTACCTTTCAATTTATTATTAAAAATATAATTTAATATTAAAATAGAAATATAAAAATAAGAACAAAATATTTCCTACATTTAAGCTTTATGTGTAATGGTTTTGTTGTCTTTTTACCTACAGTATAAGCTTATTATTTTACATAGCTCTCAAACAAATCTTTCCACAAAGTCTCATTTTATACATCAGTTACTGTAATCAAAACTACTATCAATAAGGATTGATACAGTAATCCCTTGTATTTCTACCGTTCTTATCCACAATATAAAAATATAATTAATTTTGGGGATCTTGTGATGAGTGTCCCTCACAAGCTGAAAAATGTCATATCCTGACTTAACCATAAATGCAAAAACATTTAAAAAATAAATTAAGCATATTACAACAGGGAGAAAATGTTAACTTTTCAATGCTATTTTTTTTTCTTTTTTAAAAACTTCAACCACTAGGTATACAATTTCTTCCATCTCTACAGAACCCATCGTGATGTAATATCGCCATTCAATGATACTATCACATACGATACTTGGTCACTACAGTGTTGAAGCTGCTGGCAGTATATGACTGCAAACAAGAACTGATAGTGCTTAAGTGTATCTCTTTGCTGAGCCATGCTTTACAAGTCTGGGATCAAAGTTTGACTTCAGACAGCCATCAACTGCTCGATGCATTCTCACTCAGGTTCATTTTTAGTACCTTCATTAAATATTAAAGAAGCACTCTCAAGTTTCTTCCATTCTAGAAACCCCAAAAAAGAGAACATCAGCACACTCCCTTTTTGTTCTGTATGACACTATACATAAATCCATTTTGTTATTTATAATTAACATAATAAAATTTACATTAACAACAGACCAGACCAAAATATAAAATTTGGAAAAGGACACAATGTACAGTATGCAAAGGCACTATAGAAATAACTATATTTAGTATTTAAGCTACAGTACATATTTGTGTTAGGACCTCTTCAATGTCATTAATTTACAGTATGAGAAGGTTAACTATTGTAACATTTTGTATGATATCAAGGATTAAGACCAAGTATCATCCTTGTTTGTAGACTTCATTATACTATACATGCTGCTTCTCAAGGAGGTTTAAAAAGATCCCTTGATAATTTCATAAGGCTTTTAAAACAACAATAACCTGACAATTTATGAATATAGTTATGAAGAAAAATGAGTTTCTTTGAATTAATTAGAATCCATGCAGTAATTAAGAAGGAAACAAACACACAGTTTTTTTTTTTTTCTTGTTTGTAACATAGTTTAAATACTTGTTAGTTTTCTGAATCTTAGTGGACTCAGTATAACATATATTAAAACCACACTGAAAACTACAATTTGTTTTAAATTATTCAGACCCTTGCACAGTTTGCACATTTTGTTGTTTTAAAGTTAAATGCCATACATACCATTTTCTGTGGGAAACCAAAATGTTTTTAGGTGCACAACATTATTTTAATGTGTCCCACAATTGGTTGTACAGTAAGGTGCCTCAGTTAATTTTAAGATTCTACAATGAAAACCGAGGAGCTTTCAAAACAATTCAGGGATAAAGGGTTACAAACATTTCTAAGACCCCTTGTATCTCTCTGAGTATAATGAATTTGATAATTTAGAAGTGAAATAGTTCAGACTGTCCCTCCAAAGTGAGCCCCTGGAAAAGGAAGAAATGGCTTAGAGATGCCATGACCATTTGTTTAATAGTCATTTTGAATAACAGAGTTCAATTGCTGAGATGTGATGAAATGTACTTGAGGCAATATCACAGTCACTCCACAAAGCTACCTGGCCTATATGACATAGCGAAATATCTCAAACCCCACAGAGAGTTTGCAACAAAGCATTTAAGTGATACTGTAAAGGTGTAGCAGAAGGTTTTTTGGTCAAAAAGACAAAAGTGGAAATTTTTCATCTAAATAAAAAGGTACAGTATATTTGAAGCCTTAAAGCAAGATCTACACTAGAGTGGCTTAAGAACACGACAGAGAATGTCCTTGAGTGGTCCAGTCAAAGTCCTGACTGAATCCTACTGAGAGTTTGTGGAAAGGCTGCTGTGATCAAGTCCAAGAAGCCTCCCTTGGAATGGAAAGTCAATTCTGGCTTCCACATGCGACAGTAGATTCTCTTCAACACACTATCAGTTATTGAAGTGCATGCATTACCTCAATTTATTTGACTTTAAATGGAAGTATTTTAGATTTGAGTATGTGGCCTGTGAGAACAAGACATTAATGTTCAAATCATGGCTTCACAGAAGGTAATTCATAAACACAGTAATGTTTCACAATAATTCATAAACAAAATGTATAAAACATTTCTAAAACCACATACTGTAGGGATGTATTCAATTTGAAATAGATTTTTTTCTACAGATTTTTCCTTGGCCTTGGCCTTATTTTGCTCTCAAGGTGAGTGTTACTTCAGAAAGGTTTTGATCAAACACAGTGAAAATGAATGCTAGTTGAAGGAAAAAAGGAAAGGAATCTGACAGTGCCATGTTAGATTTACAGAGTTAACACAGGATAGATTAAATAATTTAAAGTTTTTGCACTGTGTAACATTTTTTAAAATATACATCCATCTTCTAACCACTGAATCCACTACAGGGTCATGGGGGAGTTGGAGCCTCTCCTAGCAAGCAACGTGAGTAAGGCAGGATACACCCTGGATGAGATGCCAGTGCATCGCAGGGCACACACACTCACACTAGGGACAATTTTTACAGAAGCCAAGTAACCTACCAGTATGTCTTTTGACTCTGGAAGGAAACTGGAGCACCAGGAGGAAACCCACGCAAACACAGAGAGAACATAGCAACAATACACAGATAGCATCCCAGAAATTGAACCCTGGGCCCCAGTGCTGCAAGGCAACAATATTAACCACTGTTACACCGTACCCTAGTGTATGTTAGATATGTCAAACCAAAACTATAAATGTATGCATGTAACTCAGAAATGGTGGTACTGGAAATTATATGAAAAATTATAAACCTTAAAATTCATTAGTGATGCATTTCCTTTTTTGCTCATGTTTGTGCTAAATTTTAAGTGACCACTCTTTCCATATTTGTGGACCAAATTTGTTAATGTTAATGTGTTGAACACATCTTTATCTCACAGATCTACTTCACCCGTCCTGCATTGGTCTTTGTAGTAAAGACATAACAGTAGTAAGAACGTGCTTTCATTGGCTTTCTTCATTAAAAGTGTTAG